TGTGGCCATGCTGCCACGCTGTGACTCCTACTGCATGCACTTGGTACATTTTTGCACGTGCCCTGAGAGACAGCTAAAGACTTCACAGGTGCCAAGAACAAAGCATGGCTAAAATTCGAGCACTTCTGGAACAGAAGGCAGAAAATAACCCACAGGAAGGCAGCAGCAGGAAAACATCTGCACCAATGAGGAAATGTGTCTGAAATGGAAACCTAACAACTGATATTGAATACAGGGGGACAGGAGGGGAGAGGGAAGCAGTGCAAGAGGGAAGGGAACAGAAGAGGAGATTAGAGGAGAGAGAGAAAGGAGGAAAAACAATTACCAGCGTAAGGGCTTCCATGAGGAGGGGAATCAGAAACTGGTGAAAGCCCCCGGCAGAAGATGCCGCCTCTCAGCTCCCACCTTCTTTACCCGGTGCCAAGGAAGGCAAAGCTCACCACGCACGGGTCCTTGCCCGGCAGCACCCAGGCAAGCAGCGGACCTCACGCCTGGTCTGGGCTTGGGCAAGAGCGTGGCTGCCCCCTGCAAATCCCCCCTGAGCACCAGCAGGGCCGTGCCTGGGTGGGAGGCACCGTACGGGCACCCTCCTCCATGGACCCTCGCCAGGACTCCACCATGGTGCCGGCACCCTGCCGTGGCCAGGCAGCCCTGTGCGCCCCTGCTGGAGGAGCCAGGGCTTCTGGAGACCTGTCCCATGCCAGCTCCCTGCAGCACCGCTCGCACAAGCCTCTGCCGTACCCCTTTGCCCTGTGCCCCCAAGCACCGGCTGCTCTCTAGGTCCTTTCCTCCACACCTGCCTCCAATGCAGGTTTTATTTCTTCCCAGCCCATGGAAATCGCAACAGAGGTATTCAGTGACTGCTGGGAGTACCAGGTTGCACCTAGGTCCTTCACAGTTGGGTTTGACCCATGAAAGCAACGTTATCACTGACTTGGCGGCTGCGCTGGGCCTGCCAGGAAGCCCGGGTTGGTCTCTGGCATTCCCTCACCACCAGCCTGCCCATTCGGTAGCGATGCTTGTGGGCAATTCAGCCAGCAGCCACCTTGCTGTCCTGAGGGTACAGCAGCTTCTCTTCTGCTCCTGCACTGCGGTCTCTTCGCTGAACCCTCCCTGCAGCCAACGTGAGCATGGACAGGCTGTGGGCACGTGTACACATCTCTTCAGCGAAGCCCTGTCATCCCCCTACTCTGGCTGCAAACCGGAGTCCTTCAGAGAAGACCTTCCCTGGACAAAGATGATGAGCTGCTTCAGGCTCCTTCTCTGAGTTAAGGCTTGAGATATACCGTGTCAATCAAAAAGCCTGAAGACAAGTCTTCTGAGGCCTGGAACAGTGTGTTCATCCATGGCAACACCGCTTAGCTGGTAAGGAAAACCCAAAAGCTCCAGATTTATTTCCAAACCAGCTTCCTTCTCCTCAAACTTTGCTGGGATGAGCAGAGCCCACTCCGAGGGAACGGCCAACTACTCTGGGGTGTGATCTGGACTCTGCTCCAGAGGGCTCAGCGCCAGCTCCGGCCACAGCCCTGGTTCCACAACTCATGGCAGCCCTTGTGTCTCCAGAGCTTGAGGACTCTCATGGACATTCGGAGCAAATACCTGGATACTTGGGTATGTCCTCCTGGAACGAAGAGAACTTCTGGAGCTTTGGAGGTCAGCAGGCTGGCAGAACAGAGTGTGTGCCAAGGCAGGAGCTGAGTCTAAGAAGTGATGATGCTGGGAAGGGTCTGTCCCCAGAGCAACCTTGACTTCCCAAGGGATAATTTACTTCTACACTTCCCTCCGCCCCCCTAGTGCAACCGCTCTAGGATGGCCATTCCACTGCAGCCAACACATCACAACAGCGAGCAACCTTGTAGAAAGGGAAGACACAATGGCATGGAGGAGGGGCAGCCTTCTGCCCCTGCCATCGAGGCCCATAACCTGAGCATAGCCCGGGGCAGGCAGGCAACTTCTCCTGCTGGCATCCTTCAACGTCCCTGCCATCCTTCCTTGCTCCTCAGGGAGACCCAGCTCATCCGAGAGGACAGCACAAGCCTCACAACAAGGAGGGGAGAATGCGTGCAGCCAAGATGTTGGGACCACACACTGGGTGGCTTTGTCACCCAAAGCTGAAGAGACTCCCGGTGCCTCCCAGCCCAGCATTCCGGTCTCCAGCAAGGATGGAGGGATGGAGGGGAGGGTGTAGCTGGGGGCGACAGATAACCCAACCTCAGCGGGTCTGAAGCCTGCGGGCACTGAGGGACTTTCTGGCTGAGCATGATGAGAGCTCCAAGCTCTGGATGCTGCATTTACATCTCTGCACTTTGCAGGAGTGCTGTCCTCACACCATCACCCTCCTGAGGCCACGAACTCCTGGCAACCACAGGTCAGGAGAGGGCAAGTTCCCATGGGTCAGCTGCTGAATCTCAGCCACTGACACCTGGAGAGAAATCACCAGTGAGGCAACCCAGGTGCCTGCACCCCAGCACAGCCCTGGTGCCCCAAGGGTCTCCGGAGGGCGGAGGGGAGGACTCTCTGAATCAAGAGGTGTGTGCGCACGTCACTCCTGCTGTTTCTGTCCACCAGCTCCTAAAGACCAGCATGTAGAGGGTCCCAGCGTGGGCCAGGAGCTGCTGCTGCAGAGCCCAAGCTTTGCTGAAGGTGTCTGGACCTTTGCTGAAGCCTGAGGCTGTGCCCAAGCCCTCACTCACACCCACGCTGCCTCCCGGGGACGTGCACTCCAGCCAGCCCAGGTTCCATTGCACAGCCTGCCGACACCAGCAACTTCTGCATTAAGGGAGACGATGGGGAGCGAGAGTGGGGCCAACCTCGCCCCTGCCTCCTCTGCCCGATGCTGCTCCTGCTCCACCGTCTTCCCTGCGGGCACTCAGGCGGGATGTGCATCCCACCGCTGCTGGGCACCACACCGTGGCGGGGCTGGGTCCAACCACACCAGAACCAGGTCTCAAAGACCACTTTTCTTCTGCTCAGCAGTATCTTCTCTTGGCTGTCCTGAGAAACACCTACCCTCACATGGGATAAACCCTGCTTGTAAGCAGCTCTGAGAGCCCATGTTCCTCACCCGTGGGCACTGTGCACGGACAGCAAAGGCAGCATGGCCCTGCTTTGCACGGGCCCAAGTCCAACATTTCTGGTGCCTCCAGAGATGCCCCGTGTCAGGGTGCCTGGGCCCAGGGAACTCTAACTGTAGCCCAAGTGAAAGGAAAGCACAGGGGGTGCTAAAGACAGCTTGTAGCTGCCTGCCTGCTTGCACTAGGAGCAGCCACGCACCAAGGGCCTGCGCCGCAGGGCCAGCTCTGGCCTCCAGCCACACCGCCAGCCCCGGGGCTGCAGAGCTGGGCCCCACTGGAGGATCTCTCCCAGGACCCTGCCTCTCAGCCCAGAAGACATTGTCAGGGGAGCAGATTTCACCAACAGCCCTGTCCTGGCGAGGGATCCTGCCTGTTGCTGGAGAGGGGACGCACCCGGGGCGGGGCAGAAAACAGCTCGAGCTTTGCTAAGAGGGCAAGGAGCCACCCTGGGAGGCCAGAGGGCCCCGGGGAGGTGGGGGGCAAACTGTGAGAGCGAGGGGTGGGGAGAGAAGGAGGACGGTGACAACCTCAGGAGAGGAGACAAGGCTTTTCTGCGTGAAAGACTCCATGCTTAGGTAAGCTCCGTGCTCAGATGCAACATCGTCTAGGGTGTCCTCTTCCATCGTCTGTGCCAGCA